AGCACATGCCCATAAAAATTGATGAGCTGTACTTCATCAAAATTAGCCACTTGGACTCTGACTCTGCTAAGAGAATGCCAAGATAGAAAAAAGTTTTCACATCTTAAATATAGAGGTACATTATATTCAGTATTCTATAAATTGAGTGAAACACACAGCCCAAAAAGTATTGGCAAATTTTGAACTGAAACTCCAACCATTAATATAACGTTATTTCAAAGAAAATTTCAAAAAAATATGGCACTGTAGCACTGTTCTCCCATTGTTCATTGATTTGCTCGAGTGGGCACCAGTAATGTCTCCATTGTGAGACTTGTTGTCACTGTTTTTGGCATATCGAATGCGCCATAGGGAGCTTGCCCGGCTCTGCTGTGCTGGCAGGAGACTCTCGGTAGCTTGCCAGGCTCTCCGAGAAGGGCGGAGGAATTGAACCCAGGTCGGCCATGTGCAAGAAAAATGCCCTACTCACTGTGCTATCACTCCAGCCCTCAAAAAATAGAAAAAGAAAAATAAAGATATATAATAAATACATTTTTAAAAGATGCAGAATGGGACCAGAGAGACAGTATAGCAATCAAGAAACTTGCTGTGAATCCAGTTTGATCCCTGGCCCCCTAAACACTCCATATGGTCCCTTGGGGAGTGTCAGGTATGACCCCCTAAACACAGAGTTAGAAGTAAGCCCTAAACGCTCACAAACTATAGTCCTAATCCCTCCCCAAAAATGATGTAGAATGCCATCAGTGAATGAACAAAAATGTGAATTAAAATTACAATGTTCATCTGCTAGAATGATTGCCCATGTAGAAAATCAGTAAAAATATATAGATAGCCTAGTAAAATAAGTGAATTTAGTATTATCATTGAATATAAATATACAAAAATCATTTATATTTTTATATCCTACTAGCAATTGGTTACTAAGAATTATTATCCCGCCCGCACAGCAGAGCCTAGCAAGCTCCCCGTGGCATATTCGATATGCCAAAAACAGTAACAAGTCTCACAGTGGAGAGGTTACTGGTGCCCGCTTGAGCAAATCGATGAACAATGGGAGGACAGTGATACTTCTACTACTACCAGTTATAATAGCATCATAAAATAAGTATTTATGAATTCTTTTGAAAGAGTTGGTAGATCAGTAGGGCTATCTACCTTTTCATTTTGGAGGCTCAAAGCAGAGTCAGCTTGACTTTAAGGACTCCATTTGCTTAGTTTCTGAATAGTATTTATGAATACTTTAAAAATATAGTTAAAAAATCTACAAATTGATTAAGCAACACTGAAGGAAAAGAATAACAAAATTAATGAATCTATATTCTACTCATGGGATGAGACACTCAATATCATGAAATCTCAAGCAAAATCCCCTTGGGGAATCATTGTGTATGTGTGTATATTTGTAGTGTAGTATAAATTGAGAAACTTTTTTCAAATGTATTGGAAATGCAAAGATAAAACCATTTTGAAGAAGAATTTATACTGCTTATTATCTAGCTATGGTAAATAAAAGAAGCAAAGAGAAAAGTTAAGGAAAAGAAGAGGCAGTCCTGTAACAGACCACTTAAATAGTAAATAGTAAATAGTCACTGGGTTTATAGAAAAGTTCCATTTGTATTCCTATGCTGAAAGAATGACCTTATCAATAAATGCTGCATGAATGAGATGTCTTCATGAGAAATGATACCAATGCATAAAAGTTAAAATTTATCTTTATTTATTTATTTATTTATTTATTTGCTTTTTGGGTCACAGCCGGCAATGCACAGGGGTTACTCCTGACTCATGCACTCAGGAATTAGTCCTGGCGGTGCTCAGGGGACCATATAGGATGCTGGGAATTGAACCTGGGTCGGCTGTGTGCAAAGCAAACACCCTACCTGCTGTACTACCACTCCAGCCTCACAAAAATTAAATTTTTGAGTAAATGATATACAAAATCTGCCTCATTGCTTGCAACTGCTTCCAAATCTATAATGATCTCAAGATTATTAAGTACAATTTTTAAAAGTGTAGTAGCAATGGACTGAGAATCATAAAGACATTCTTAAAGAAAAATTTAAAAATGTAGAAGACACGGAATTACATGATCTAAGAATAATGCATGGAAACAGTTTGGCGTAAAATTAAACATTCTTGGTTTTATCCCACAAATTATCTACTTGACACATATCTTAGAATAAGTTTTTACAGTTCCATCAGCAGGCCTTAAATTAATGCTCGTAACAGCATTATTTGCAGCAGCAGAAAGAAAGCTGGGTGCATTTTCCCATGTTAATTTTCTGGTTTTGCTAATGTTCTTACAAGCCATGTAAGATGCTATCACTGTGAATCCAAAATCATTCCAAATTAAAAGCAATTTTAAGTAGATACATTTCACTGAAGATGATTTGAAATTTGGAGCATATAGCAGGATACTAAATAGCAGTGAAGATGAAAGCATTACTGCTAAAGGCAATAACAGATGAATTTTAGGAACACAGTGTTAAGAAAAATGCAAGTCATTGGAGAAAATAACAGTTGATGCCTTATGTAAAGTTCAAAAGGTGCAAACAAAATAAATATTGAAGGAAATATCTCAATGTGGTGAAACTCAAAGCAATGTCGGGGTTCTGCTCTGCACTGGGAGGCTGGTGGGCAGAGGCTCAGGGGGCTCATATCTTCAAATATGTTATTGCATTTGGTTTCTCCAGCGAGCTCACTGGGCATGCCTGAGAAAGGGTTTCTTATACATCACAGAGCATTTAACAAAGCTTCAGAAGGAAGTATTCCATCCTTTTAAGAAAATAGCCCCCGAAGATGCTCTGAGGAAGAAATTTATTTTATCAGGGTTGCCAAATAGAGGGTCTCAGTGACCACACTTTTTGCAACCTGGAGAAAGCTTGCCTGGACTAGGGTAGAACAGGATCTCCTAAATCAGGGGAGAGAAGCAATGGCAAGATGGGAAGGAGAGAAGGAGAGAGGAGCAACCTGACTTCTATAACATCACCGCACTTTCCGCAGGTCTCAAAGCCAGTGGCATTCGGCTTCCGCGTTTGCAACTGAAAGGGTCCTGGCCACAGACAGTCCTGCTGTGGAAAGTTGATCTAGAAGTCCAGAGTGGCCCTGAGGTATCCGTGTATCCCCCACTCCCTTGAAGGACCCTGTAGGACCAGACAATCGAAGAGGGTCTGGGTCTTAGCAGTACCTCATCTGAAAGGTGGTCCACGTTCTATCCCCAATTGAGAAGGCCACACCGGCGCCAGGAAGAGGGGCAGCTTGCAGGCGTGGTTCCTGGGCGGCTGCCCTGATCACCTGCCTCCTGGCTGGCAATCCCCTGTCCTGCCCATGGCCCCAAAGTAGGGACCCCACTCTCACATTTATACCCCCACGCTGGGCCATGGTCTCCCGGAAGAGTCCTACAGCAGAAGTGAGATGGAGAGTGACACTTAGCCCGAGGTGAGGTCTGGCTGATTTATAATCTCTGTGCTCGAAGTCAAAGGTGATTCAGACAAGACTGTTGTAAATTTAATGGGAGACATCCATTCAAACATTCAACAAGCACTCACTCAGCTCTGGGTGATGGTTTTGGAAAGCAGGAGTAAAATTCAGCAGGTGGGAGGGATACTGGGACCCGTGGTGGTGGAAAATGGGCACTGGTGGAAGGATGGGTATTTGGTCATTGTATAATTGAAATCCAAGCACAAAAATTTGTAAGTCTACAACTGTACCTCATGGTGTTTCACTAATAAAAATTTAAAAAAAGAGTTCTCCAAACCTCCAAACGTGAAAGTCACATTCTCTCTCTCTCTCTCTCTCTCTCTCTCTCTCTCTCTCTCTCTCTCTCTCTCTCTCTCTCTCTCTCCCTCTCTCCTCTCTCCTCTCACAAGTAGCTCTCAAAGTTTGGGTAATAACCCCAAATACATGTTTCATGAACAGCTGCAAAAAGAAATGGCAAGGTGACATGACCCAGCTATGTACTTGCACACTAGTGTTGACTGCAGCCCTGTTGATGATCGCTTTGATCTGGAAACAACCAAAGGCGGTGAGTGGGTAAAGAACTTGCCTCTAGATCCACAATGGACTGCACTCTGCTCAGAGCAAAGAGGAAAGCTGGCCCTTTGCGACAACCACAGGGATGGAACTGGTCGGGGGCGCTACATGAACTAAGTCAGAAGCAAACATCAGATGACCTCACTCATATGCCGGAGACAGAGAAGCAAAGAAAGGGAAGCGACAGAAAGGAAGTAAATTCTTGGACTCAGACTGCAGAATTGAGGTTAATAGAGGGGAGGGAGGACAGAGGGCCCAGTGACCAGTGGTTGTGCAATGACAACCAATACTTGGACAGGCCCAAACGACACCCTGCAGGCACACACGGTTTCAGGTGTATGGGCGTGCAGGGTCTCGGCTGGAGAAGGAACAAGGACGGCTTTGTAAAACGCTGATTCTCGGAATGCTGAGGGTCAGCCTGGGGGCACCCCACACTCGTGCTTCAGGTGATGCAGGGGCTATCCGAGGACCACGCTGACCTCCAGGGTCTCGGGGTCTCTTCCCCTCCCCCCGCCCCGGGACAGCGGGTCGGGAAGATGCTGATCCAGGGGAACGGCGGGTTTGAGGCTCCAGGTGGGCCCCTCCGCACTGACCCTCAGACACGCGCGGCGGAGGGCCCTGGCCCCCCATCCCGGCGCGCCGACGCCTCTCGGGCGCCCACTCCCACGCCCGTCCACCCCCAGTCTCCACTGCGTCCCCGTCCATCCCTCGGACGCCGCCGGTGCCGGGGGTCGCGGCCGGCGGGGGAAGGAGCCCGCCGAAGACCCCCGTCCATTCTTCGGGCTGCGGCGGGGGGAGGGCGCGAGGCGGGGGGCGGCCGCGGGGGTCCCCGCCAGCCGGGGCCCCGCATGACATCAGAGGCCGGGGAGCGCGCAGGCGCCGCGCAGACGGGCGCGGGCGGGGGCTGCGGCGCGGCCGGGAGAGGCTCCTCCGCCCCGCGCCGTCCCCGCGCCCGCAGCAGCGCCGCCCGCTCCCCGCCGGACGCAGCCGCAGGCCGGCCCGAGCCCCTTCCCCGCGCCGCGGCTCCCGCACGGCCGCCCCCGCCGCCCGCGCCCCGCGCCCCGCCGCCCGCACCATGTCCGCAGGGGGAGATTTCGGGAACCCGCTGCGGAAATTCAAGTTGGTGTTCCTGGGGGAGCAGAGCGGTGAGTATCCCCCGCCCCTGGTTCCTCCGGCCCCCCACGTCCACCCGCACCCCGGGCCGCGCGCGGGGCCCAGGCGGGTGGGAGCAGGTGCGGCGCGGCGGGGCGCGGGCTCGCTCGCACTGCGGCAGCGGCTGCGGCCCGCGGGCAGGTGGGGCGGGAGGAGCCGGCGGGCGCGTCTGCACGCCCCACCCTGCGCCCGGGCGCGCGGGGTCTCCCGCGGCCCCTGGCCCCGCCGCGGGCGCGGTCCCCGCACGTCCGTGGCGGGGGTCCGGGGTGGGGGGGGGGGTCGGGCGGCTGCGCAGGGAGACGGACAGGCGGACGGACAGACTCCCTTCTGCCCTGCGGAGAGCGGGTGCAGGCAGGACCTGCCTTTCTTGGCGTCCGTCAACCGTGCCCCGAAGGTTCTAGAGCCGCCGCTGCCCTTCAGGGGCGCGCGGTGGCCGCTTTGGGGAGCACGGGGATCGGGGCGATGCGGGCCAGGGCTTTCCAGGTGGAGCAGGTCGGGGGGCTGGCGCTGGCGAGGCCGGGCGGCCAGGGCCTGGGCAGAGCAGGTGACACGCCCTGCCCGCTGCTTCCCAGCACCCTCCCCAGCCTCGGCCTCGCGCCGCCTCCCGCCCCCACCTCCTCGCTCGCAGCCCTTCTTGGGGGGGAGGGGAGGTCAGTGTGGCGGCTGGCCAGGGCCGGGGGAGGGGCGAGAACGGCTTCTCGGCTGCCCTGCAGACTCTGGGTCAAGGCGGCGCCAGCACCCAGGGGTCCCGGGGGTAGCCAGATGGGGTCGCGGCGTCTGGAACCCCCTGACACTTGTAGCAGGGAGCGTCCCCGCTGAGACCTCGCCCCTGGGCGGTCGGGAGACGCGCCTGGCCGCCACAGGCGGCTCCGCTAGGCTAGAGAGTCCCCGGGAGCAGGACCCCAGCTGGGCAGGTCATTTGGTGCCCAGCGGTTCTCGGGCCAAGACGCCCGAGCCTGGGAGGAGACTGGGGCAGGAGCACCGCAGGAGCGAGCGCCGAGGGGTGGTCACTGAGCCCAGGGTGGCTCAGAGAAGGGTCAGAGGGGGCGCAGGGGAGAGGGTTCGAGCAGGCTGAGCGCTCCTGGGCAATTGCATCACTAGGATGCCTCCCTCTACCGCTCCCCTCATCTTTGTGGGTCGCTGTTTCAGAGCCCACGTTTCCCTGTGCTCTGGTCTGGGGGGGCTTCACATCCCTGCTTCTCGGAGATGCTCTTCCCACTGGCGCAGCAGAACTCCTGGCCGCAGGTTCCAGACCTGCTGCCTCAGTGTGTGTGTGTGTGTGTGTGTGGGAGGGGGGGGGGTGTTAAGACAGCTTTGGGCCTCTATCACTCCCAAGTGCCTCTCACGGGGCTGACCCTGACTTTGACAAACCCGGGTTTGCTCCTGTCGGTCTGAACAGCTCACAGGGCACGGGGTTTGATGAGAGTATCTCACTAGATCTGAGTAAGGCCTGAAGGACTGGGGTCCTCTACCAAGCCCTGCACCCCCAGCCTGGTCCCTAAAATCTCAGACACGAGAGCCACAGGTCTAGACAGAGGACCCCTGCCTCCCTGTTGAGGCAGGATGGTCAGTTAGCCCTGGGCCAGCAGGGGGCTGGCCCAGATCCTCCTTTGGAGTTAAAACAGTCTGGTCTGGAGCGGAAGTGTCCTGTTCCCCGTCACAAGCCTGTCCTTGGTGAATAAGGTGACCTTGAGTCGGGAGGCCAGATGTGGGGGATGAGGGCTGGGTGTGGCCTGGGGGGTTTGCTGGGCTCAGGCAGGTTGTGGACTGTGCCCTGGAGCCATGGTAGGCACTGGTCACTCTTCTGGCTCTCACAGTCTGGTGGGAGCCGCGGACCCTGGAAGGCTTCTCGGTGTGTTGAGAGTAGGTTGTTTTCAGAGCTTTCATGGCCCTGAGCTGAACTGGTGGGGAACCGCGACTCACCGCCTCCTGCAGCTTGTATACCGGAGGAGTCTGGGGACCTGCCCTGGGCCCTCGCCGCCCGCCCTGTGTGACCTGCAGGACCTCACCCTCTGCATCGGGGCCAGGGGCCAGCGGAGCCTTGAGAGCAGCATGGACTGTCTCTCTGAGCTGGGCCTCCTGGAGAGAAGGTGGGGGCAGGGCAGGTGTGGCCAACACGGAGCTCTCATCCTGGCCAGTGGGAAGGACAGCTACATGCAGTGCCAAGGCACAATGAAGGGCCGTCAGGGCATTCTGAGGGAACCTCGGCGTCTCTAGGTATGTCTGGGTGGGGGTCAGTGTCTGGCCTCCGGCCACTTTGGATCTTCCTTACCTGAGACTCCTCCAGTGAAGGAGTGTCGAGGGACACATGATGGCCCCAGACTTGGCCTTGACCAGTGTCACACTCTACTGCAGCTCCCTGCCTGTCCCAGGTGACTCTCTCAGTGGCCCACAAACAGCTGTCCATGCGTGGGTCACTGTGTCCCTCCCCTGCCCTCCCCTTCCTCCCTCCATCTTCTGTTCATTTCATCTAACCTGGCAGGCGTACTCACCTACAGCACTCTGTGTGGGGGACACAGACTATGGCTCCAACCCCGGGGAGGGGGGTGTCCCTGAGAACATAGTGAGGGCCAAACAGTGATGCACACAGTGAGGTCACCCCCTTCAGGGGCTGGTGTCACATGCAGGGAGGGGCTGGGGGAGAGTCCGGCACAAGGGTGGTTTGATGTCTGTTGCTCTGGGGTGCACTTTCTCCTCCCTCCCCTTGTTAAGAAGCGGTCAGTTGTGCCCCCTCTGTTGCTGGAGGCCTCACCCTCCTGCCCACTCTGGCCCCGCCTGCCCCATCCCTAGGGAGCCCTCAGAGCCGGTGCCGCGTCCTTCCTCAGTTGGCCAGAGAGAGGCGCCTTGGCCCTGTGGAAAGAGACGCATGTCTAGAATGGTTGGACTCATTTGTCGGATATAAAAAATAAAAAACAACCATAGTATGAGACCCAAGGACAGTAGGAACAAGGGCCAGGAGGAATGGTCATGGTTGGCTGCTTGCCACAAGTGTTGGTGAGGAGAGACAGCTAGGATAGAGGAGGGACCACCAAGACAATGATAATTGGAAACGATCTCTCTGGACAAGAATTCAGTGCTGAAAGGAGGTAAAAGGGACAAACATAACAACATTTTGGTACCTGTATTACAAACGATAATGCCAAAAGGAGAGAGGAGAGAGAGAGAGAGAGAGAGAGAGAGAGAGAGAGAGAGAGCAAGTGCCTGCCATCATAGAGATAGGCTGGGAATGGGGGGTGGGGCAAGGGAAACTGGGGTCATTGGTGGTGGGAAATATTCGCTGGTGGGAGGATGGGTGTTGGAACATTGTATGACTGAAAACCATTAACAACTTTGTAACTGTTTATCTCAAGGTGATTCAATAATTTAAAGAAAGAGGTGCATGTCCTGTGGAGGAACAGGGCCAGGGGTGTGTGTGTGTGTGTGCGCGCGCGCGCGCGCGCGTGCACATGCATGCTCATGAATTAGCTTGTACTTGATATGAGAGACCAGAGGTACCTGATGGGGGGAAGGAGACATGAGGAAGAACTTAGAGAAAGGCAACCCTTAGAATCCGAACAGACCCCCCTCTCTCACAGCCCCCAGTGAGTGTGAATCCATTAGAATATAACAAAGTAACCTCTCTGTCCCCTTGTTACATACGCTGTCTGTCACATCATCCTGGGAGCGTTCATCCTCATGGGCATTGGTCTGATTCTGTTCACTGATGGAGCTTAGGCCTGAGCACCCCCTCTGTGTCCCCTCCAGGCTGAGTTCCCCGCCCTACCGAGCCATTGGGCAGGGCTCTGGTCTCCAGGTTCAGAGGAAGCAGCGGGCAGAGCTGTTGAGGAGGTGGGCAGGTGGAGTGGCACAGAACCGGAGAACGCTGGGCATGATCTCAGCTGCCCGTGGGCATCCTGCTCCTTCTCTCACCATTCCGAGAGGAGATGGGACCTCTGGGCTCAGTCCTCACCTTCCCTGAGCGGGGCAGCTTCAGTTAGACCCCAGAGAGGGGCTGCCCGGAGCATGGGGCCCAGGTTGACCTGGATTGGTACCCAGGGTTCATCATGGGGGCCGGTCCACATCGTGGGAAAGGATCGGGAGAAGCTGGTCTCCCAAGAAGATGACATGGTATCTTGGGCTGGAAATTCTCAATGTCCCAGACTTTATTTCACCTAACCTTGGCCTTAAACTAAGGGGGGCCAGAGAGAAAGTACGGCAGGACTGCGCTCTCCTCGCATGCAACAGATCCAGGTTTGGTCTCTGGCGCCTTGCATGGTGCCTTGAGCCTGCCAGGAGTGATCCCTGAATGCAGATCTCCTGATATCCATAAGCCCTGAGCACCAAAATCCAAAGCCCCAAAATAAATGAAAATAAAATGACAAAAATAAAATGACAAAAATAAAATGACAAAATAGGGCAGTAAAAACTACTGTTTCCCCAAGACCCTATTTGGTTTATTTATTTATTGGTATTGGAGCCATTCCTGGCAATTCCCAGGCTTTAGCCCTGGCTCTGTGATGCCAGGGGTTGAACCCGGGTCTGCCGTGTGCGAGGCCAGTGTCCCACCTGCTGTACTATCTCCACAGCCCCTGACTTTGTCATTTTAGACAAGTGATTTGATTTTAGTGGAATCACTTTTTTTTTTTATCCTGGTTCCTTGGTGACAAGGCCTGGGTAACCCAGCATGCCAGATTACACCTTCCCAGGAGGAGGAGATACGGCCAGGGACAGGCCAGAGGGCAGTGGGACACACCCCTGAGGAGAGGAGAGAGCCTGGAGGGAACTGGGTTTCCCCAGTCAGTTTTTTTTTTTTATTAGTGAAACACCATGAGGTACAGTTGTAGACTTACACATTTTTGTGCTTGGGTTTCAGTTATACAGTGATCAAGTACCCATCCCTCCACCAGCGCCCGTCCTCCACCACCCCGGGTCCCAGCATCCCTCCCATCCCCAGTCAATTTTAACAATCCTGAGGGCATTGTTCTATATTTGTGACACTGCTGTAGCAGAGTGA